ACACTCTTGGTACTTCATCGACAACACACCTACTTTCGTAGGACCAAGTTTATTATTTACTTAAGCGTCTTCTATAGCCCTGACCGTAGTTCGGTTTCTTGTTTTTTGTTGACCAGATGATCGTCAGAAAGAGTTGAATTATTTTTATTGATCATACCTACAATTTAAAAACAACTACAACTAAAAAATATTATCTATTTAGAACAACTAACATCTTCTGATAACTCTACTTTGCTAGTATAAAACCATATATCACCACGTTGTCGCGGGTTAATTAGTGACTTTTGCCACTAAAAAAGCCTAACTTCAATAGTAGGCACCTTTTCTAACGACGTTCAGGACAATAGTTAACACTTGCGTAAGTGACTTGGGTAAGCATTCTATTTAACTTTACTTTTAACGATTTATTTTACAGGTAATAATTACTAACTACCGTTTATTTCGCTTTCGCTTTTGCTTTTTAAATACAAATTGACTATCGCTAATTACATAATTATTGATCACACCATTTTAACTTATCAATTGTTTATTACTAATCACACCATTTTCTATGGACACTATTACGACATTATTTATGCATTACCTATTAATTTAACTGATTCATGCATCATGTACCCATCTATTACCACATTGTTCCCTTGAATGTTCGATATACTGATCCCAATTCTGGATGATCGTCACGTGACCATGTGACCACGTAACGGTCGACCGATTCGAACCCTTCGACGTGAGTTAAGCAACTACTATATATATATTTTTTCTTTTACTAATGCAATTCAATGTCTATTGTTTAAAGCTCAATACACTGCATACTCTTCTTTACCATGACACGAGCTAGATCCCCTGGAACTTCGTCCCTGAAGTTTCCACTTTCGCAACATCCCAATTATCCAATACGAACTCATACTTCCATCTTAACAACCATCCGCATACAATTCACACAAATCTAACTATACTACTTTCATGCATAATTCATAACCTTACTTCGGTATTCTTATAACCAACTGTTGCTTTACTTTAGTACTTGTACCAACTGCTCATAATTCGATCTCACATCTACAATTCTGCTCGATCAGCACCTAAATCCCATATGTGATATGCTCTTGACAGTTCAATCGAACCTCTTTAAAGACAAATATCAATTCTTCGTCATTCAATTTTTTTTTTTTTTTTTTTTTTTTTTTTTTTACATTTTCTACATTATAAATATTATATTATAGTATCCCAGAATTAATTACACTTTTTCTTGATCAAACACATATTCCGTCAGCAACATATTGCATCTGCCTATTCGTTTCATCAACAATTGATCAAGAACATTATTCTTATCCATATCGCTGGCTCTAATTCTGCAACAATCCTTTACATGGATTTTATACCTGCAACGGTATTTGCGCTCTTCATGTTCATTACATAGTCTCTCGGCATTTCCAATCCTAGCACTGATAATCTTAGCACTACTCATATTATAATTATTACCCAAATCGATTGAAACACTTTTATTATCACAGCAGATTACAGCTACGTCTTTCGAGGCTCTACTTTCAACCAGCTCTATATCTTCCTCACCTAAATCAACAGAGTTACCTTTATTAGATGCCATATATGCACTCCTAACTTCTATTTTATCTCTCAGGTTTCCATCTCCTTTCTTCACTACATCATCGTACGTTTTGCTTTTTGCATTATTCGCATTCGAACCTCTACTATCCTTTCGGTAACCAACATCAGCTTGTCTACAAAACTTAACATCATCGACAACTTTCGTATCCCACTTAAATACCCTGGCTTCATCAAAGCTAGCCTCGTGCTTTTCACTATTGGGTTCCACAGGTATACATTTGGCATCAACTTCATCACAATGTATATCGGATAGTGGATCTTTGCTTTTGCTTAGTTTCCCTTGGTCAAATATTAATCTATCTTGATCTTCTGATTTAGGTTCTACAAACGATTCTCCACCCTCAATATGCTCTGAATTCTGCTCAAGTATCTGCTTTTCGTCCTTGTCTATATTACTGGTATCTTGGTAACAGATAAGTGTCTTGTTTTCATCCCTTTCAATTTTATTCTTTTTGCCACCGCAATATCCATTACTACACAATCTACTAATATTCTCTTTATCATTATTAGTCAAACTAACTTTCACGTCCTCCTTTCCCTTATCTTCACAACACTTCTTTTTATTATTTGCTTTAGCCACCTTTTTCTTTGTGTTTTCTATCCTTTCATAGGATCATCATGACCCATACTATCTCAGAACTATTTGAATAGGCTTGTCTCGTCACTTGGTATATCAGATTTCGAATCTTTATCAGATACTTTATTTTTATTCTTACTGACATCTTCTTCCTTCTCTACACTATCGTCCAAGCACCACCATACTAAGTCTATTTCGTAGATTGGTAATACAATTAGTTGGCAAGATCTGCTCAGGTTCTTGTGTCACAGGTTAATTAGTGACTTTTGCCACTAAAAAAACCTAACTCCAACGGTAGGCACCTTTTCTAACAACATTCAGAGCAATAGTCAACACTTGCGTAAGTGATTTGGGTAAATATTCTATTTAACTTTACTTTTGACGATTTATTTTACAGGTAATAATTACTAACTACCTTTTATTTCACTTTCACTTTTGCTTTTTAAATACAAATTGACTATCGCTAATTACATAATCATTGATCATGCCATTTTAACTTATCAATTGTTTATTACTAATCACACCATTTTCTATGGACTCTATTACGACATTATTCATGCATCGCCTATTAATTTAACTGATTCATACATCATGTACCCATCTATTACCACATTGTTCCTTTGAATGTTCCATATACTACAGTCAGGGATATTACCATATTTGGGCAACGACGATCGCACCTTATTTAGTAATGATCTTCAGTAAGATTTTTCTAGATTTCATTTCCAGATTATTCCACAGATCGTAATTCTCATTAAAATAATCGCGCGTTGCAGGTTCTTCCGTTCAATATTGGATAAAAGTTAAAACATCTCTGCTGATATTCCTGTATTCGTATCTTATCTAATTAAAAGAATTCGACCATTAAGTTACAGTAATTTTGTTTTTAGTTATAGAAGCATATATGCATCAACTCTGATTATATCGATATTTTCAAAAGTAATTATTCGATATATTCAACCCCAAAAAAAGAAAGCCGACGTCAATTAACCAGAGTAACATTATTAAATAGGAAACTTTATGCTGTTCAAAGTTATTAAACTACCTACATTGATCTGAATTTTCGTTTTGTTTTAAATCTACTAAAGATTCCAAGTTTTATTTAATGCACAATCAGTGATTATTTTTGCTGTGCGGACTGTGCACAGTAAAAAGAAACAAAATTTTGCGCACATTTATTTTGAACAATATGTGCAGATGCTGCACAAAAAAATTAACAATTTGTAAGAAGAGCGCATCCTTGTAAATAGTTGCTCAGTTTTTACTTGTTGCACAGGAAAGTTTCCAAATTGTTTGGTATCCGTCACAGTAAATTTTAACTGAAAAATTAATACTGTGAACAATATCAAATTACAATAAATAAATAAATATTCGCCTGACAACAATTCTATTTCCATAAACTTTTGGATTAAATAAAGCCATCCTCTTCGACTTTAATCCTAGAAACAATAATATCCCAATTATTACATATGTTAACATTATCTCTCTCTGCAAACTCTTAATAACATTCGAATGCCTCATAGTTATCTTTAACTCCAATTCCGTTAACACCAATAGTCAATAACGAATATTCTACTAGAATGACTATGCTTATTGGCAAAACCCGGATAAATCCCAAACCTCAAAAAAAAAAAAAAAAAAAAATGCAATTTATAAAAAAAAAAAAAAAAAATTAAAATTTGCAAACATATTACTGTATTATATATAAGAATATATACGATTTGTTTAAATAAAGATTATTAATGAAAATTTTTAAGATATTAATTTGGCCAGGGTTTGGGATTTGGGCGTGAACAAACCTAAACTATAGTAGTTTGAGATTTTGCCAACAAATATAAAAATGACCCATCTCAGCCAATTTTTGTTAATATTTGAACGTTTAGATTCATCCTTTTCGATTTTGATAATTTCAACTAAAATATGAGATAATGAAAAATAAATCAACCATATTATTATTTAACACAATGAAAAATAAATCAACCATATTATTATTTAACACAATGAAATAATAATACTCACCATTCACTACTCTTCTAATTCTGCCAATACCATAGCACATAATATTTTGTGGTTGAAAACATCTTGTAATCGTTGTTAATTTCATAAAAATCGAATATTGTCGCAAAGTAATCTCATTATTTTGTTTAGTAAGCATTTTCAAGCTCGAAGAAAAATTCCAAGACGAAAGTAGTTGGCAAGTCTGAAATTCTTTCCACTCCTAATAACAAAAAAAAAGCTCTCAAACGCAAACACAAATGCATTTTATTAACACGAATGAGGAATGTAGAAATACCGGAGCTAGCAAGTCCATTCTTGCGGAGTAACACTCTGAACATAGTAGGTTACTATCTCTAAATATGAATGAATGAGTACACATTTTATGAGCCTTAAACAAAAAAAAAAAAAAAAAAAAGGAAAAAAGCTTTTCAATGTTAGGACGAAAAACAAACAGGAGGAACCGTCGATGTTACATGACTAATTCTTCACCCGGTGTGCAACATATAAAAAAAATCATTTTACAATACCAGTTCATTCCGCTAGTACATGTTATGATTATAATCCCACACCATTTTATTATAGTAAAAATGGTGTGGGATTATAATCATAACATGTACTAGCGGAATGATCTGGCATTGTAAAATGATTTTTTTTATATGTTGCACACCGGGTGAATAATCAGTCGTGTAACATCGACGGTTCCTCCTGTTCGAAAAACATGGCAAAATCATCTGGCTAAGACTACGACTTTACCAGTAAAGATCTCATATGAGTGCTGTCAAGGAAAAATGAAACTTCGGGTTTCAATTTTATAATTGATTATTTATTGGATTCAGCCCATGAAAAATCTGATTGGTAATATACGGTATGTGACTACGTATAATATATGTTACCAACTGATTTTTAAAGGGCTGAATCTGATAAATAACAAATGATAGAATTGAAAGCCCGAAGTATTATTTCCCTTGGCAGCACTTATATAATTGGCATTGACACTATATTTGAATAACAATGCCCAACACTATGTTTTATAATATCGAGCACGG